CCATGTCAGTGTTGTAATTACAGAAGTTCTCCACTGTGCTTCAATCCACTGTGTGGGTTTTGGAGATCTGAACACAGACCCTTACATTTGAGCAATGGACACTCATCTACTGAGCCACCTCCTTCATCCCAAGAGAATTTCTTTTTTAATTTTTATTTGGGGTTGGTAAGATGACTTAGTACGTAAAGGCTCTTGATACCAAGCCTGAGGTTCTGAGTTTAATCCCCAGACTCCACAGGGTGGAAGGAGACAATTGACTGTCTTAGAAGTGTCCTCTGACCTCTAAATGAAAACTGTGCCATGTACGAACACCCATACCTATACCTACACTAGATAGATAGATAGATAGATAGATAGATAGATAGATAGATAGATAGACAGACAGATAGATGATAAGTAAATAAATGTAATAATTGGTACTATTGGTTCCTGTTGATTGGAATGAGCACATAAGAGGATGATCCAAAAGAAGAATGTATATAAAAGTAAACCGTTTCATGTTACAACATGGGTGAACCTTGAAAACATCACACTAAGTGAAATAAGCTCAATATCATGTAACGGAGACAGAAAAAATGGGAGGGGGGAAAAGAACTTACTATGAGTAATGCAGGGTTTATGTTTGGGATGCAAATTAGTTCTGTCTATCAACAGTGGTGGAAGTTGTGTGGCACTAAAGTGTATTTATTGCCCCTGATTTCTGCATTTTTGTTTGTTTGTTTTTTTCGAGACAGGATTTCTCTGTGTAGCCCTGGCTGTCCTGGAACTCACTCTGTAGACCAGGCTGGCCTCGAACTCAGAAATCCGCCTGCCTCTGCCTCCCAAGTGCTGGGATTAAAGGCGTGTGCCACCACTGCCCGGCAACTTCTGCATTTGAAAAGGACTAACTGGGAAATGTTGTGTTAGCTATAGTTTACTACAATACAAAAGAAAAACTCCAGATTGAATGTTTATTTTGAAAAATTCTAAAAATATACAAAGTTTAATATACAGTGAGCCAGCTGGATGTAGTAGCACATACCCTTAATCTTGGTAGGCCAAAGACCGAGACAGGAGGATCACAAGTTTGGGGCCAGCCTGCAGTAAGACATTTTTCAGAATAAAAAATAAAATATAAAACAATAGAAATACAACAAATTTCCTTCTGTCCATTGCCAGCTTCAATAATTATCAATTCCTTGCCAAATCTTTACACACCAAGTCCCTCCTGGACCCCACAACAGCAAACCTCAGATATTCCATCGATATATCTGTCATTATTTCAAAATGTTTCTCCACAGTAAACAAAGTGTTTTCTTACCAGTCAATTCATATTTCTCAGTAGGAACTCAGACCAGGGATGGGCTGTAGCTCAGTAAGTGGAGTACCTGCCTACAATGGTCAGAGAGTGCCCTTGGGTCTGCTTCCTAGCACCACATAAGCCAGAAGTACTGGTAGCACACACCTGTAATCCCAGCACTCAGGAGGTGCAAGCAACAGAGCCAGAAGTTCATCCTTTACTAGTAGTGAGTTTGAGGGAAGATAGCCACAAGACACTGTCAAACAGCAATAACTAAACCCCCAAACATCTCAGATCAGATACCAACCCCTCTGTCAGACCTTTCCGAATTGTCCTAGAATGAGCAGGATACCTCTCTTTCTACTGTGTCTATGACTGCCTGTCTCCAATACACCATTTCTCAAACATTGGCAGGGCTGATATTTTGAGATAGTAATAGAATAACTAAGGGTCCCAAGAGGGTGGAAATAAGAATTATTAACCAGGGGAAGGAATCAAACAGTGAATGGTACCAACTTTTGGATTCTTCTTGTTCTCTCCAGTGCCTGTCCAGGCTTTCCCTGACTTTAGCCAATGACTGAAGAATGAATGGTTAACATAGAAGCAGCATTCCTCATGCAAAGTGGCACATAAGCCCTCCTTGTTGCAGGAAGACTAAGTTTAATCTCCACCTGTTCTGTAACACCACTTCAGTCAGAGAACCTAAGTTTCACTCCAGGTGGGAAATGGATCTTTCTAGGCACTGGATATCTTCATCTATGTCTTTTGTTAAATTGTTATAATTCTTGTCCTGTAATGCCAGTGTAGCTATCCCAGCTAGCCCTGCCCCTAGAATTAATGCTAAAGTCAAAGAAATAGGTTCTCTCCTTTGTCTCATAAGGCCTCACTCATTCTGTCCTACTAAGGTTCTCAATACCATTTCCTCTGAATAATAGGTTATGCGGGGCACAAATTGAACCAAAATACAGAACCTATCTGGGGTAGAAGAATTAAGAACCGCCCCTTTCACGCAAGGGGTCAGTCCTGTCGAACAGGTCCACCATGCCTGTTCTAGGGGAATAGTCCATTTGGAATGAACTATGGGAGCAGTCCAATTGCAGAGGTGTTGATGTGACAAGGGGACTTTCCCCAGACAAATACCTTGTCCCATATAGTCTGGTCCTTTAAAGCTGGACCTTCCTGTAACCATCTACATGCAGAGTCCCTTTCAGATACATTATATTTAGCTATAAACCCAATGCCTTCATAAAAGGGGGCTGCAATACACACAGTACATACAATTAACAGGGACAGCAAACTCAGGACTGAGACTGAATCAACTTTAACTTGAGGGGGTTGCTGTCCTTTTGAATCCTCCATTCTGGTACACCTATACAGACTATTCAGAGTACTAGGAATGCCCTTCAGATTCGCTTCTCTATGGTGCCATCTGCTGCACATGCTTCCTCATTGCAGAAAGACAAAACCCGACAGTTTTAAATGTTCCTGGTGGTCCTTGTTAGAGAGAGCATGGACCTGCTCAACAATTATATGGGCCAGGCAGTGGGTATACAACAGCAGCTAAAACAGACAAAAATTTCTCAGAAATGTTTTCTTACATGAAAATGAAGGGTGAGATGTGTAGTATCAAATATAATATATGGCATCAGTTCATGACTACTGGTTTGAGGCAAAGGGAGGTATGGGTTCTAGAATTTTCCAACTAGTTTGTCAGGAAATGCCTTCCTGAGATGACATACCAAGATCCGAAAGAGGGAAGCATGAACCACATAGTTATTTCAGGATGTCAAGCACAGGGCAGGCTGGGGGCCTAGAAAGGTGATCAAAGAGGGAACCATGGGAAGGCAAAGCACACGTGGGGGAAGAAGAAGGTTCATATGGGGCCTTCAAGGGCTTTGGCTTTTACTCTGCGGCAGACAGCAAGTTTCTGGAAATCACTTGAACAGGAGAACAGGATGGTCTGGCATTTCAATTAAAAACAAAAACACTCTATCCATTCTGACAAAAGGAAGCCAGAAAAGGTGGGACAGCATAGATCTACAGAGACTGATTACTGCTAGCATAGGAAGAGAGGAGCAGGCAGGCTCCATGGGAGTTTGGAAGGGAGAACAGACCAGGCTTACTGATGGGGACACAGATAAGAGACAGTGAGATCAAAGCTGTTAAAGTTTTCAGCTTATCATTAACCAAGACAGAGAAGACAGTGGGAGGGCAAAGATTTGGAGAGAAAAACAACAGGAATTCATATTAAATTTGCAATTTAAGTGGGCAATGTTGGGTAGGTGGATTCGGAGCAGTCTGGGCTGCCGCTATAATTTGGGGATCATGAGTACAGACAGTTGGATCTACAATTGAGACAAGAGGACGGCATGTAGACAGATGGGGGTCAAGGGCTGAGTTCAGGGTACCCCAAATGCCCAGAGGTTGGGGAAGTGAGAATAGACGAACTACAAATACCCAGTGTAATAGCCACCAACCAGCAGCAGGGAACCTTGTGGAATCTTGGCACCTGGAAGAACGCTTTTGAAGATAGGAAGTCAGCTATTGAATTCTTTTGGCAGATCAGTAAGATAGGATCTGAGACTCCACTATTAAAACCATAAGTTGAATCACAAATCAAATACCTTGTTTGGCCCTTTTCAGGAGAAACACCGAATTTCTTAACATTATTTTTTTCTTTGTATTACATAGATATTTTCAAACAACTGGATAATGTACATTGAATATATTCTACCCCCAAATTCTTTTTTAAAATTTAGCTTCCTATTGATTCCCTGTGAACTTCACATCATGCACCCCAAACGCCTCATCTCCCTGTCCCTTCCTACTCGCTCTCTGCTCCTGCAATCTTCTCCACAAAAGAAAACAGAAAAAGTCTCATGGTGGAAGCTGTGTGTGTCACAGTGTGTCCCTGCTTTTTTTACTTGCAAATGCAAATGTTCATTACAATGAGTCATCAGTCTGGTTTGAGGCCTCTGGCTTCTGCTACACTACCTATACTGGGTCCTCATGGAGACTTCTCTCGGATATCCTGTTGTTGCCTGTGTCTTAGAGATCCTGCAGCTTTGGATCTACAGAACCAGACCCTTCTTGCATTCCAGCAGTTCACTGATTGGGTAGATGTTCCGGAGGGCTAACTCAAAGCCCTGGATCTGAGTCTGGGTGGTAGCTAAGCTGGTTAGATCATTAGTTCTCCCACACCCACACCACCAGGGTGAGCTCTTCAACATTATCCCAGGTGGCTCACTCAATGTCCCAACCAGCAAAGGGCAGAGACAGCTTTCACTTTCATGACCTCAGGGCAAGCTTACTCTTTCTTGCCCATGCCAGCAGGGCCAGTTCTATTGTGCTACCTGGGTGAAGTGGGGGCCTGCTTTCCCAAGTGCTGCAGCCAATGAGGAGCAGGACCACCTCCCCTGCTTTATGACCTTGGAGGACCAGCTCTCCCACCTGCCATAGATAGTGAGGGGTGAGGGTGGAAAAAAGGCATCTCTCCCTAGCCCACACCACCCTGGCAGACAAGTGACAGGGCCAGCCCATTCTCACATTCTTGGGGCCGGCTTACCCTGACCCCCAACCAACAGGGTCAGCCCTACTGTGCTTCCTGGGAGAGGTGCAAGTCCATTTAGCAAAACAGTGTGTTTCCATGTTGGGTGGCTCATGTTCTAGCACTTGAAAGGCTGAATTGGAAGGTTGCTACAAGTCTGAAGCCAGCTTGGCCCTCCGAAGTTCAAGGCTAGCCTGGGCAGTGCATTGGAACAACTTCTCAGCCATGGAGGAGGGTGTACTTGTTTATTGGTGACACCGTCATCATTTAACTATAATCAGATTCTGACTTGGCACAAACAACATTCTTCATGGTTAAAAACCTGTGGGATGCCAGGTCATTGGTATGCTTTTGTGAACTGTTATTAAAATGTTTCTAGAAAACACAACAGAACACCAACAACATAGAAGGTCTCTGGTCACAGCAGGAGCTCAGAAAAGATTTGTAAATCTGTTTCGACAGTACGTCATTCTTTTGGTAATGTTCCTAAATGATCAGGCTATACTTAGCTAAGTCCTGGAATACTAGGCTGGCTCCTCTCTGTGCAAAGCCTGGTGTTTTATGGTGTAGCCAAACAAGTCCGGCCTGTTTGACAGCTGCACCTCCTAACTACATCACGCTTCACTACTTAGAACCACACACACTTTCCTGGGAACTGGAGAGAAAAAAAAATCCACATCAGCGGAGGCCTTGCAGCTCAGGATGGATACTCATCTCCAGTGGAGGATCCCATGCCTCAAACAAAACAAAAGATAAGAAAATCAGGCTTTAGAGTAGGAAGTCTCTCTCCAAATAAGGATGCCTGATCCAAATTCCCAAAGTTTTCAGCTTGGGGGGACCAGTAGGCAGGATCTTGCATCCTGACTGTGGTATTGATACTTTCTGGAAATGTCGTGAAAGCAATTAAACTCATAGAACTTCATTCATGTGCAATGTGGAACCGATAGGGGGAATATTGTTGGGTTCTTTTGGAAAGCTGGGGGGAATTATGTAGAGGACTCCAGTAGACTTTAATAAATTACAAGTACATGTGTATAATACACACATGTGTAATGTGTTCTTTTTTTTTGTTTTTGGGGTTTTTTTTTTTGAGGTTTTTTGTTTTGTTTTGAGACAGGGTTTTTCTGTGTAGCCCTGGCTGTCCTGGAACTCACTCTGTAGACCAGGCTGGCCTCATGTGTTCTTTTTTTTTTTTTTTAAAGATTTATTTATTTATTATATATGAATACATTGTAGCTGTCTTCAGACACACCAGAAGAGGGCATCAGATCTCATTACAGATGGTTGTGAGCCACCATGTGGTTGCTGGGATTTGAACTCAGGACCTCTGGAAGTGCAGTCAGTGCTCTTAACCACTGAGTCGTCTCTCCAGCCCCCTCATGTGTTCTTTTTATTTCATAATCCTATCCAATATTCAATTTGCCTCTTTTGCTGTTGGTATTTGTTAAGAAAAATTGAGGGCCACTGTCTTAGTTAGGGTTTCTATTGCTTTGACAAAACAAAACAAAAACAAAACAAACAACAACAACAACAAAACAACAAACCACGACCAAAAAGCAAGTTGGGGAAGAAAGGGTTTATTCAGCTTACACTTCCACATCACTGTTCATCATCAAAGGAGTCAGGACAGGAACTCAAGCAGGGCAGAAACCTGGAAGCAGGAGCTGAAGCAGAGGCCATGGAGGGGTGCTGCTTACTGGCCCGATCCTTATGGCTTTACTCATCCTGCTTTTTTATAGAACGCAGGACAACCTGCCCAGGGATGTCAGCACCTACCATGGGCTAATGGTAAGTTTCCTAATCCTTCTGAAACAGTTCAGCTCCCTGGTGACTAAGCATTCAAATATATGAGCCTGTGAATTCTCATTCAAACTACCATAGTTGCCTTAGTCACAGTGTTTTATCAGAGCAATAGAAAAATAACTGAGTTCACAAATACAACAGCCATGCCATGTCTGGAAGATGCATTTCATAGCATCCTCTGCGCCCTTTGACTCAATTCATCTGCCCTTCTTCCATGGCATGCCCTGAGCCTTGCAGGGACGGTAGAGATGTTTCATTTGGGGCTTAACATGCAACAGTCACTTGTCCTCAGTACGTTGGCCAGTTGTGAGCCTCTGCATTAGCCATCACTCCTTGCATAGAGAAGCTTCTCTGACCAAAGGCAAGAGCAGGATAATCTATGGGCATAAACATTAAGAAGGGCATGTACCAATGCACTAGTAGGTTCCCTCCTTGACCTCCTGTTTACCGTATCAGGCAAGACTTCCAACCTGTGCGTTAGGCCTTGTGGTGGTTTGGCCCCCAATAGATTCACATGTTTGGATGCTTGGCCATAAGGAGTGGCAGGCACTGCTAGGAGGTGTGGCCTTGTTGGAGAAAGTGTGTCACCGTGGGAGGTGGGCTTTAAGGGCTCCTATGCTCAGGTTCCACTTATGTGGAATCAGAGCCTCCGACTGGCTGTCTGTGGAAGACAGCCCCCTTCTGCTAATTGTGGATCAAGATGAAGAACTCTGGGCTCTTCCAGCACCATGTCTGCCTGCACATTACCATGCTTCCTGCTGTAAGGCCCCTGGAGTGGGGAGAACCCCACACAAGCCACAGGAGATTATGACTACCCAGAATCACTTGAGAGACCGAACTTGCTGCAAACTGCAAAAGGCTTTATTTCCGGATTTTAGGATATCAGTCGGCTGAGGCTGAGACTCCCAAGAGGAGTGTCAACCTCGAGGCTCGGGAGCAAGGGGTATTTAAAGGAGAAAACCACAAACTAGGGGAGTGAAGGGGGAAACCAAGAGGGAACAGCGGAGAAATCCCAACCCACATCATGAAAATAGTAGAGAATTCTTAACTCATTATTTAGCTGGTCATAAACCAGGGTGGGGAGTGGGAAACATCCTGTAGCACATTTTATCAACATGAACGCTAGCCACCTGGCTCATGTTTAAATTACACGTTCTCCCCCCTTTTAAAATCACATTTCATCTTATGAGAAAGGCTGAAATACTGTGATGTAAAGTTGTTGCGGTTAATATTTTTAAAATGCCACCCAGTCCAGGCTGTTCCTGGGTAGTCGCCATTTTCCCAGGCAGCTCTGGCTCTGGACCACCACTCCAGCTAGTTAGAAACACTAGCCCTGGCACCCACAAGATACCAGTGTGGCAGCTGGCTCTGCCAATCCACCACGCTGTCCACAATGCTTGGCTGAACCCAGAACATCTTGCTATGACCATGGTACCCGGTAGCAATGAGACTCTTAATGCTTAATGGTTCTCCAATATTTATATGTTTGGTAATGCTCAATTATCTATAGGGGGAATACCTTTGCATACATGCAAATATTTATGACCACAGTGGGATTTGAAGTTCTCTTCACATAGCTCTTGCACGTCTACGGTAAATGAAACTAGGGTATTTTTGTGTGTATATGTGGGAGGGGGGATATGGAGAATTGAAGCCTCAGCCAGTGCATTCTAAGCAAGCACATTACCACAGAGCAGATCCTTAGCTCCAAATTAATTCTTCTTTTTACTAGTTAAGTTTATTTATACGATAGTTCTCATTTTTATTTATTTATTTTTGTTTTGTTTTTCGAGACAGGGTTTCTCTGTGTAGTCCTGGCTGTCCTGGAACTCACTCTGTAGACCAGGCTGGCCTCAAACTCAGAAATCTGCCTGCCTCTGCCTCCCAAGTGCTGGAATTAAAGGTGTGTGCCACCACTGCCTGGCTAAATTTTTTATTTAATTAAAAAAAATTTTTTTTTACTTAGATGAATACACTGTCACTGTCTTCAGACACACCAGATGAGGGCATCAGATTCTATTACAGATGGTTGTGAACCACCCTGTGGTTGCTGGGAATTGAACTCGGGATGTCTGGAAGAGCAGCCGGTGTTCTTAATCATTGACCCATCTCTCCAGCCCTTAATATTTTGAAAAGTAAGTTTTCAGATTCACTTTTCATTCCTTCCTTCTCCTATAATCCCCGCCCACACACCACTATTCCCTCCCAACTTCCCTTCCAACTTCACATGACCTTTTTCCCCTCCAAAAGCCCCCGAGTTCACCTACTGCTGCCAATGAGAGGGAGCGACAAGTAAGAGACAGAAGTGGAGGGTATTGGAGTCAAAGCACCGTTTTCCGCACTTGACAAAGCTGCTGCACACATGAGATCAAAGAGGCTGGGGCTGCATCTACAAGGCACATGCAAGATCAAGACAGTCAAAATTCCAGCATGGCTGGGGGAATCGGTTACAAAGTCCAAATTACTTATCAAAAGGGGAGTGGCTAACAGTTGAGCTGTATATATCATTTTTTAGTCAAGTCATTTTGTCAATTTATAAAACTCAAAATTAAAATGTTTGTACAAACTCTCTAGAAGGACACACTCAGATCCATGCTTATACTACTGTTATAAATTATATAATTAAATCAAAAGAGACAAATATACCCCATCATTTTGTTTTGTTTTCTGAGACAGGGTTTTACTATGTGGACTAGGCTGGTCTCAAACTCACAGAGATCTGCTTACCTCTTCTCCTGAGTGCCAGTATTAAGGTGTGCACCACCATGCCCAGGTACCATATCCTTTTAAACATTAGTTAGTTTGTTTTTTTTATTTTTGTTTTTTATTTTTTTTTTTTGAGACAGGGTTTCTCTCTGTCTATCTTGGCCCTGACTGTCTTGGAACATACTCTGTAGACAAGGCTGGACTTGAACTCAGAGATCCACCTGTCTCTGCTTCCTCCTGAGTGCTGGGATTAAAGGTGTGGCTACCCCAGCCACATGCATTTTAAAGTTGCTTTTTTAGTAGTATTTTATGTATGTTTGTCTATGTGGGTTTATTTGTACCACCTGCATGCAGAGACTGTAGATGTCAGAAAAGGGTGCTGGATGTAATTGTGATGGCTTGTATATGTGTGACCCAGGGAGTGGCACTATAAGGAGGGGTGGCCTTGTTGAAGTAGGTGTATCACTGCAGGTGAAGGTTTTAATACCCTTGTCCTAGGTGCCTGGAAGCCAGTCTTCTCCTAGCAGCCTTCAGGTGAAGATGTAGAACTCTCAGCTCCTCCTGCACCATGGCTGCCTGGATGCTGCCATGCTCCCACCTTGATGATAATAAACTGAACCTCTGAACCTGTAAGCCAGTCTCAATTAAATATTGTTTAAGAGTTGCCTTGGTCGTGGTGTCTGTTCACAGCAGTAAAACCCTAACTAAGACAGTAATAAAATGTAATAAAAAATTAGAAACAAGACAAAACCACTGAAAATTAACTTCCTAAAAATATTATCAAGATGTCAAAACCTG